GCCTTTGAACTTAAGAGAAAGAAGGTGAATGAGATAGATTTCTTCAGTACTCAGGACTTTACCTCAGGACCTACTCATGCTGCAGTCTCCAGCTGTTTGCATTGTTCCTGGATTGTGCCACTTGCATTGCTTGATCAATGTTTTGGGGACTTGTATATGCCTGTGTTCATGGAACATCAGAAACCCTTAGTTTTTCTGGATGCTCTGCTCTGACTCCTGAAAATCAAGATTGTCCTGAGTCTTTCCATTCTTAACATCACTTTATGTCATTTGCACAAAGGTTTCAGTTCCCACAGTATGCCAAGGCCTATGATAAAGACTGAGATGTTAACCATGAATTCTCCCTTGAGGTGCTCAGAATTTAATAAAGGAAATGTCAAATAAACCAATGATTAGGATGCCACATAATAAGTGACATGATATGGAGTGCAGAGGGCAGTGCAGAATGGAGACATTTAGCTCAGCAGCTGGTGGAGCAGAACAAAGGAGGCTTCTAGGACTCAACATATCTAAGGACTTTATGCCAGACACAAAATAGTGGAAGATAGTCTTTCCTGAGGAAGTAAATGCTATAAATACCCTAAGCCATAAACCTTGACTCCTTCACAGAGCTACAGATTGCCAAGCATAGTTGTACAGGCTTGTAAAACAGGCTGAAGAGGGAAACCAGGTCTAATCATGAAAGGCTCTCTATGTTGTTCAAAAGCACTATGAATTCACAAGGATAATATGCGATATGGTCAGATTTGTATTTCAGAAACAGTGGCATCAATATGGAGGATGGATTTTACCATCTGACTATGTCCCTAAATTTGATTCCTACAATTTCTCACCCTGCCTGGCCTCTGTGAAGTTTCCAACTTCATTCTTATTTCTTCATCAGTTTCCTGAAACAAAACTAATTTTCAGAATTAACTTGAGAATATATAAGAATGAAAAATGATCTGATCTTTCACACAACCAAACTCTCATGGGATTGAAGTGTGGGAATCTACTTCTTCTGGATCTCCCCAAATAACTCTGAGGTATATTCTTCATGGACTAGTTGTGAACTGACATAGATTGCCACATGTACCACTAGTTTCTTGATGTATCTATAAGCATAAGCAATGTGTTTGGCTTACAGAATTAGATTGGAGATGGCTGGAGTAGGCCTCCCTCTTACCACCTTCCTTCCACAGCATCTATTACCACAAAAATCAGTCCTTGCTCTGTCCCCTTTAAGGATTTCTGTTTGTTCTTTGAGTAACATCAAAACTTTAAGATATCCTAGTAAGCTCATGCCTCGGCTTCAATTCTTCTCAAGCCAATTTTCTCCTGACTTTGTACATATAGTTAGCATTTCAGAGAAGTACAACTTACTCTCTCATTTCTACTTTCTCAGATAATTAAGGATCAATACAGAACTAAGATATTTGTGTAAAGCAATAAAGATCTGGAAAATTTCTCAGTATAATTGTAAATGACTTGACCTAAAAAGAGAAAAGGAACTCCTATCAGTTTCCAAGACCCCACTGAGCTGAAGACCATATATTGGAATACACAGAACAATTATTTTCTCCATGAGCTCAGAAACCTAAGAGCAGAGAAAATTGATGTCTGGGTCTCTCAGCTTCTTAGTACTGAAAAGGTAGAAAGTCAAGAGGTAAGAGAAATCAGGATTCTGGTGTTTTTAAAAAATAGCAAAATTCCTACTATAGCTTACAACAAAGCAACCATTAATTTGCCTCAAAACTATTGGAGAATAAAGGCATGTATACATTTTCTCTGCCACACTTAGACTACATGGTAATGATTTGCCATTGGATTTGATTCTGACCTCTGACTTGTTCCAACTGGCTTTGACTCACCTATTAATTTATCCTAGAGTGCAAAGGATAACCCCAACAGCTGCATGGTGCCTCAGGCAAAGAGAGTGACACAATTTTATAGCACAGTAGATAAAATCACCAAGATAATGCTACGAGGTACCAAATGTTTCATAACAATTGTTTTCTTCTTAAATTAGAGCTATGACTTAGAAATATGGTTCTCATGATGATGGCAGAGCCATGCAATAGACTGTCTTAATTGACTCCTTAAATTTCATGTAAGACTCAGTATATCTCAAACCACAAATAAGTGCTGCAACACAAAGATATTTAATGTTTAAATGTTGTGCTAATGAAAATGATTTTTATTTTTGAAATATTTGAGATTTAAAAAATTTATTAGTACATGTTTGAAATACATAATGAGTACACTCATCGTGGGGAGTCAGTTCATACACAAACATATCATAAGTCTTTTTCATCCCTTTCTCCAGCACTCCTTGCCCTCTCCCTCTGTCTCTTGGAAAAGTTCTATCTTCCTGTTTCCTATTAGTAATCTTTCATTTTGCTCTTTAAATTACTTTGGGCTTCTCATATAAGAGAAATCATGTGATATTGAAGTGTGTAGATCTGATTTATTTCACGTAACATCAGAGTCTTAAGATGCATCCATTTTATTACAAATGACTGAAGTTCATCCTCCTTTATGGCAGAGCAGTACTTTATTTTTAATTAAACCAATCCTACTCTTGCAGCTGGATCGATTTTCAGTTGGTCACTTCCTTGTCCATTTCCTTTGGCAAATCTCTTTCCGATACATGTATGTTCATTCAGTCAAAGATCCAAGAGCAGCTGCGGTGCAGGCAGTGCTGAAGTCAGTGGCTAAAATTAGATTATCAGTGCCATTTATTTTTAAGTTCAAGGCTGAAACCTCAGGATACAGCGTGTTTCTCCTGGAAGGAGATACTTTCCACCACTCTGATGTAGGCTTGTTACCAAATTGCATCCACATTACATCACTGGGTAATAAAATGGACCCGAAATAGAAAGTGAAAGCATATCCTTTCTCCCCAAAAGAAGGAATAAGACAAAATTCCTAGGCTTTTTTTCACAAGCTCATGAGACGTGTGTATTCTTAATTAGGGAAAAATGCTTGGTCAAGGGAAGTAGTAGCCCCTCAGGGAAAGGGTACCAAAGTGGTCTAGATTTTTTTCATCCGTCCTGCACTACTGGATAGCACAAAGTGCCAATGACTTAGACAATTTTATGATATGTGCTTCTCCTTTCCATGCTCACTTGTATAGTTCAGGTTACAAGGAATTTCTTTCTTTATTATTATTAGCACATATTAATTGAACAATATAGTGGTTTCTTTTTAACTTTTCATATATTCCAATAATCTATTTCACAACCATATCTACCTCCTTGTTACCCTCTCAGTGCCCATCGCCCTCCGTGCAATCTGCTTCTCCCTCAATATTCCCCCTTCTGCTTTCATGTTAGCTTTCCACTGCTAGATTCCACATATGAGAGAAAACATACAATGTTTGTCTTTCTGAGTCTGGCTTATTTTGCCTAACATGATGTCCTCTGTTTCCATCTATTTTCCTACAAGTGATATGATTTCATTTTTCACTGAGGCTAAAGAATACCCCACTAGGTACATATATCAGATTTTCTTTATCCAGTCATTCTTTGAAGGGCATCTAGCCTGCTTCCATAACCTGCCATTGTGAATAATGCCACAATAAACATAGATAGCATCTCCATAGTATGTTGGCTTCAGTCTTTTAGGTGTATATCCAGGAGTGGTATAGTTGGGTCATATGGTTCTACTTTTAGTGTTTTAAGCAATCTCCATACTGTTTTGCAGAAAGGCTCTAGTAGAGTCCATTCCCACCAAGGTATAAGGGTTGCTTTTTTCCCTGAATCCTTTCTTTTTTGTGGATAGCTCAGCCTGCCCCATGTTCAGAGCTGGTGTGGCATGTGATGCCAAGGATCAAACCACGATCCCTGCGCTTGCCTAAGTTTGCCTAAGCAGGCACTTTAGACCACTAAGCTATATCACCAGTCATTTCCCTGAATCCTTTCCAGCATTTATTTTGTTTTCTTCATAATGGTCATTCTGACATGTCAGATGGAATTTTAATATAATTTTCATTTGTATTTCTCTGATGCCTAAAGATACTGAGCATCGTTTCATGTATATATTGTGCATTTGTGCTTCATTTGAGAAACACTAGCTCAGCTCATTTGTCCATTTATTGAGTAAGATTTCCTGTTCTTTTGGAGTTAAACTTCTTGGGTTATATTTATCTTTTGTCAGATGAATAGCTGAAAAAATTTTCTCCATTTGGTAGGTTGTATCTTCACTCTATCAATTGTTTCCTTTGCTGTACAAAATCCTGTTGATTATGTGTGATCTTTTTTTCAATTCTATAAGCTGTTTCTTAAAGCATTCTTCCTGATGTTTCACTCCATTTTTTAGAATATGCACAGAGTATTAGTGTGCACATCCAAGTGTGCATATTAGTTCATCACCAAAAACCTGTACACACCACATCATCAATCATTTCCCAACATGCATTGTATCCCTTCCCTTCACTCCATCCCTCTTTGCATTTCAAGAGGCACCTTGGAGGTGGCATCCTTTCCCAAAGCACCACTGCCCAGTGTGGCTGTCCACTCTCAGTGCTGCTCAGGAGAGTCCATCACGGCACAGTGCAAACATCCATACAGGAATGCACTGCTCTGGAAAGCCCTGCTGCTTTTCCTGGCCCAGCACCAACAGCCCACTTTTCCTAATGAGGGTCCTGAGGATGTCCATGTCTCGAGTCACACTGCTGTCAGAGAGGTCGAAGACACAGCCCTCCCGTGCCACATTATCCTTCAGTATGATGACGCCATTTTCTTTCAGGCCATCTCGGCACCGGGAAAGAAATGCAAGCAGGTCCTTATCAGTTAAATACCCTGCAGGTGGGGCCAAGCAGGGGAAAAGCAAGTTGAAATAAGAGGAGGGAGGGAGATGAATAGGAGAGAATACAGGACTCAGAATCAGAAGCCTGGCTATTTGCTTCCCCAACCACACATACCTTAAATTGCTTTAGCTGCAGGGGTCTTTGGAAATTTAGACAGAAAGATAAATATCTTCTACAGACACGAGATACTGTCCATCACATGGGTCCCTTTATGTCTCTTGGACAGCCCAGCTCTAATATCATTCTTCCATGGTGTACATACACAAAACAAACAAATAACGCAAGCCAAAAACACCCAACCACCATCACCACATCAATCAAACGCACTGCACTCTCTTTCCTGGGTATTGAAATCTAAGAACGTTTAGCTCTGCCAATAAATGGAGATTAACCATTCTTGGATTCAGTTGTTTAATGTTTAAGTTTATCTCTTCAAAGGTTTAAGTTGGTCCAAAGGTACTCACTCCATCCCTATACATGGAATTTACTTGTTAAGCTTGTACAGAGAAAGCTAAGAGTAAAATCTGGGGACCAAACTTATTGAGAGGTCTCACAGTACCTAGGACATTAAGAATAAATAAGCTAATCGCCTCCCGTGTCTTTGTTCACCCCAGTGTTTTCTCTTGTAGTGGAGAAGCAAGGAAGGACGCAGACAACACCATGCAGGACTGACCCGATACCCACTGAATCCAGATGACATCGTATCTCCCAAAGGGGGGTGTGAATTCCTGCAGGCTGAAGCAGTGGTAACTTTCTACCTTGTCCACTTTGCCTTGCAGGTAGTTCTGGGCTTCAAGTAGGAAAGACTCCATCATATCAACCAGCTCCACTCTGTCGAAAACTGGCAGCAAAACATTCTTGCTGACCCTTCCTATCCCAGAGCCGCAGTCCAGGGCGCAGTCAGTTCCAGCTCTCCCAGGGCCCTGCAGAAAGGTACCTCATGGGACACTCAGGTACAGAGCCTTACCTGAAGTCACAGATTCCCCAGCAATCTCTTCC